GTTAGAAAGCAATAAAAAAAATCCTATTTCTGTCAAGAAAACTACCAAAATGTAGGGTTTTTTTGTTGTAAAATTGCTCTAAACTTTGACCAGTCAAAAATATGCAGTCCATTGTCTGGTCAGTAGACAATATTTGACTGGTCAATTAACCAGTTCGCCAGCCCTAGTATTGTTAAACAGTTAACTCATCACAGCAAGAAGTGCACCCTCATTTTTTATCTGTGTATCATGTAACACATTTTAGGAGAACTATAATGCTGATGATAATAATAAATTAGTATATTATAGGCAGTCAGCATTCTACTACAACATGGAGCAAACCCTAATGAGAAAGACAGTGATGGGAACACTGCTTTGGATAAAGCCTGTAGTGATAAAATGAAGGAACTGCTTAAATCTTATGGTGCTGCTGACACTAGCATTGCTCAGAAAGCAACTGAGGTTACTGGTATGTTGTCTGTTTCATAATGTTGTTTTGCAGATTTATATCCTAGTCTTGAGGAAACAAATGTACCTCAAAATACTGCAGGTTTGCAGATGCTGATTTTTTCATATCAGGGACAGACTTTCTTTCTAGCTGTAGAAATTCTTTGGTGATTATTTATTTATAATAAAAATATAAAATATATTAAATTAATCTTTTATTGTTAGAGTTAGTAGAGTTTCTGAACAGATGTATCTGTCTCTTTCAAATTTATTGATCATCCATATTCTCCCCTCATATAAACCTTGTAGTTTTAGTAGACAATATAGGAATATTTTAGTTAGACTTTATACAGTCTCCATAATGGAAATTGATTTAATCTTTTTTACATATAGAAGATTTTTTCTTTACACTGTGGTCTGCTTTATTTCTTTGTAATCTGTATAATTGACCATTAGACATTATTGTGATTTTATATATATTTCATATTTTAAAATTATATTTCTGTTTTATTAATTGTGGGGGGAAAGATATACCTCCTTCTAGATCAAGAAGATCACCACGGAGTTGTTATGATTGCTGTAAAATGGCTGATGAACCTTTGATTTTGCACCATGATAAGTCTAGAGAGAAACATGATATGGTAAGTGTAGCAGGATGAGGTTGGGTGTCGAATTAGCACACTCCTCTGATCCTCCATTCCTGCCTATGTGGTCCCTGGGTCCTTGTCCATTCATCTGCCATGCCTTTGCTGTTTCTAAAAAATGCTGAGAGGCTGCCTAGGACCTCAGGGGACTTACTGGTCTAGGTCCTACCACTCTTTTTTTCTTAACACTCAGTGCCTTAGAATAGGGACAGACATTACACATAACCGGTTTAAGTGATCAGAAACTGGCTTAAACCTGTAACAGAACAGATGTTCAGTGCACATAAACCAGGTTGAAGATGGCTGAAACTGGTTTGCGATAAACCTGGTTGAATGTAGTATCAGACTTAACTGATTTGGCTCAAACCGGTTTATGCAATGTCTGTCCCAGATCCTTTGCTGGTTTAAGATAAATCAGACACCCCTAGCATCCCAGCATGCCCTCTCGGCTGGGTGGGACTCTCCCTAGCTGGAACTCCAGCAGAAACTTGCAGGCACAGCAGGATCCGCCTGGCTTCTCCCTGCACTATCTCCCCCTCCCCCACTAGCCACTGCTCAAGTTGGAAATCCTCCCTCCCTCCCTCCCTCCCATCTCCCACAGCAGGGACCCCAGTCCACAGACCCTAGGCATGTGATATGCTAGCTAATGCAGATGTGTGTGTGTCTCCTGTTTCACTGGGACAGGCAGACAGAACAGCGACCACTTAGGGCTGTTTGGAGCTAATCAGTAGGTCAGCTGGTAAGCTGTTTAAGAAGAGTTTGAACTAATGGAGAGAGTTTTGCTGATGGGGTGATAAACGCTGTTATCAGACCCTGCTGGCTTGCTCGCCTGTCAGATTGCTGCAGACAGTTTAAATTAGCAGGAAGGGAGATTGAAGAGCTCCATATCATAAACAGATGCATGCACTGCACTCTCCCCCCTTTCCTCAGAGTGCTAGCAGGGAGCTGGGGTCCGGCAACACTCCCACCCCTTGAGCTGTGAGTGGGGAAAAGCCTGGGATGGTGCAGGCAGACTTCCCTAATCAGAATGTCCTGCCAGGACTTGGCCATGCCCCCCTCAGCTCAGCAAAATGCAAGGGAAGTGAGGGCTGCTCTAGTGCTCCCTGGCTTCTAGCCTGAGCCACTGCAGGCATGTGCCTGAATTTCCTCAGTCCAGAGAGAATGTTTGTCTGGTTACAAAGCAGTTCAGCCTAGCCAAGTTAGACTAACCTGCAAAGATTGAATCAATTCAGGCTCAGGCTTTTTGAATGTCTGTCCCTAGCCTTAAAGGCTGTATTCATAGCTTCCAACTGCCCCTACAGCCACACACAAGCCTCGCAGGTGCCAATAATTGGTTATTTCAATGGGCTTTTGGCCCCAAGTCCAATCTCTTGGTTCTTCAGACCTATATCTCTTCAGGTCTTGTCCCTTTTGGGTGCTGGGCCCCTTCCCTGAATCTCTGGCCCTGGCTCCTTCCTCCTCTAGCCATTTTTGCAGCTTGGGCCTGCCCTGGCAGACTCAAAACTCTCCATGCTTCTCTGGCGCAACTGGGGCCTCCAAGCCTCCCCTTGCTAGTCTCTTCCTGGTCCTCCAGTGGGAAAACAAAATGAAATAAGCCCCCACTTTAACACAACATACCCCACCTTGGGACACAAAGGAAAAAAGGATATGCTGTCTCTAACTCATACGGTGCTGGGTCAGGCAAATGAAGCCTGCTCCAGTAATCCACCCCTGAGCTTCATATTGCTCTGCTCCTGAAAGTCCAGTTCCCTCAGTACACCCTCTTTTTCCCTCTTCTTGTGAGAGGGCTCAGTTCCTCCACAGAGATTTCTCTTGTGGCTGTGCATTGCTTTGCTTTCTGATCATTTGCCACCTCCTCTGCTTTGAAGCAAGACCTTATCTCACTCTTTCCATTATCACCTGCAGACCATTACTCCCTGGCCCCCGGGGGGGTTAGTTATTCTGATTATGGACTAATCGGTGGCTCCTTTCTTCCACCCTGCCACCTGCTATGTGGCTAGCATATCTTGTCTTGCCCACTTGTTTACTTGCCCAGCGGCCCTTACAATTAGTCTGATTCCGTTTTATAACAGCAGCTTCTGGCTTCCTGTTACAGTAAGTATAATAATAATATAAGAAGTTTGTTACAGTGTTTTAGAGTGCAGTCATTTTCTGTTTTGTATGTATTTTTACCAGGTAAAATATCCTTGTAGTTTATGTTACGATCCAAGTGTTACACACTGGATAAGTTCATTTGTGTGTTATGCTTCCTTTTCTTTTGGTCATGAGTCTTCTCCATCTGGACTTCTTGTGCAAATATACCGTGTCATTTATACAAATGTACAAATGTGCCAGGATCCATGAAAGCCTCTTGCCAGTATTTCCAAAGTGGCCCCATGGACAGAAATGACTTAACTTGATAACAACATGTTAATTGGAGACATTTATATTTTGATGGTTGAAAAAACATGAATTATTAGAAAATCTGCTGCGTGCAGACATTAAAAACCAAAAAAAACCAAAAAGCAAAAAACCTCAAAAAAGAAAATGGCACTTGAAACGTGGTGTGTTCCCATGCCAAGCCCCATGCATGTCCAGAAGAGGCAGCACCTTAGCTGGACCTGGCTTGCCCAATGTCTGTAAAGATTGGGCACTTTAATGGGGCTTTTTTGGCACTCTTAGCTAATGACTGATTTAATCAGCTTTAGCTAAAAGTGCCAAAAAAAGCCCTGCTGAAGCACCTGATTTCTACAGACACTGCAGAGCGGGGTTGAAATAATGTGCTGCTTCTTCTGGAAAGTGTTGGGGGGGGGGTTGGGGGTTTTTTGTTTTTTAACATCTACAGGCAGCCAAAATTATTTTGACCTAGGTCCTTTACAGGGAGAATTCATGAGTCTACAGCAGCTCCAACAACAGCAAACTGTCTCTACTTCGGGTCACAGACATGCTATGGCAGCAAAAATTGCTGTGGAAAATTCCCTTCATTTTGCCCCCACCCAAAACAATGTTATTAAAAAAGTTTTAGCACATATGGCCACAAAGAAAACCTTGAAAACACTAAGCAAATGTAAAGGGATTTGGTATTCTTCAAATGGCTCCAAGTCAGTGGGTGCATCTACATGAGATGTTTACTACTGAGTTGACTAATTAACTGTGCAGTAAATGTCTTGGCTTCTACATGTGTAGGGTTATTAGGCTGGACTAAATTAATAAACTATTATTTACAAGTACTACACTGCTGGGGAGCTTTTTACTCTGCAGCACTAAACGCGTAGACACTGATGTGGCTGGCTGGGGCATGAAGGTGCTTCAGTGCAGGAGCTGCCTGCCAGCTAGCATATTGAGTCAAGCTGAAACAGCCCTTGGCTGGCAGGCTGAGCCTCTGGGCCCCTGCCAGCTGGGGTTGCTCCAACCCAGCTCACTGTACTATGGTCCCAGGCACACATGCAAATGTTGCACCTGGGAGCAATAATTGCATGTGTAGATGTGCTCAGTGTTAACTATTTCACTGTGTATCATTCTAGAAGAAATATCCACCAAATGTGTTCATCCCATGATCCCAAATCTGCCTCACCATTCTTCTCTACAGATCCCAAAATACCTAAATGGCCCCTGCCCAGTTGCCAAAATCCCCTGCTTTGTACCTGACAGGTTCTCTGATGCAGTTAGGTATTACCAATATAAATATCTTTGGCATATCAAGAATGGAAAATATGGAAACAGTGTTAAATAAGTTTAATTTAATATTAAAATAAACACCATAGGCTGCTGTACTGATGATGCTGTTCATTGTCAGATTTAATTAAGTCTCTTGTTTTTATTTAACTGAATTAACTGCACCAAGGTGCTTTGAAAGCCAAGTATATTGTCTCAGAATTTAGATTCAGTTTGTTTGTAGAATGCATGAAACTTTGTCTCTCTACCTTTTATAATATGTTTTGTATTTGATAGCATGAGTCCATTATTACTGTATTACAAGATATAGAAGAGAAGCAGAAAAAACTGCTACTTTTTGAATTAAGAACCCCCAAAGATGCAGGTAAATGTGAATTCAATTTCAGTTTCCATTATTGTTCTAATATCTATGATCATTATTCTAAGTAAAGAACTTTAATACATCCGTATAGAAAACTGAATTTGAGAAGTAGATTTGTTCTCATGTTTGGGTATATGTATTTTTCAGGGGTACTTCTGATCATTATCTGGGATATGTATAAGAATAAAAAGGGAAACAGGCTATTTGTTGGCATAAAGATAATGCCAATTTAGTCTGAGCAGAGCAAGATGGGCAGAGAAGAACTAATAAGTCAATAAGAGCAACAGCCTACAACAGTTACCACACAATGCTCAATAATGCAAGTGTCTTATTCATGATTCGGTATGGGCTTTTCAGAGCCCCTCCATAGCCAAGAAAAACTGTGCATGGATCTGAAGAATGGAATGCAACCATTTCATTGTAGTGTAATTATAGTTGTGGGGGGTACCTGTGAAAAAATGGAAAGAAGGAGAAAGAAATGTATCAGGAAGAATGCTGTATATGACATGGCCTTTATATATATTAGAACTTGGAGGGGGGTCTTGGACTCTGATTCAGATTATTCTTAAGAGAACACATCTGATGGATACAACTCCTAGCGCCTCAACATTTCTGTTGCTATTCAAGACAGTTTTGAGCTATTGCCTGGGTTCCACAGGAGCTCAGCTGGCAGAGACTGATTCAGGATTGCTCTTCATTAATGGATGCTCCCTGCCTCGCTTGTCATGTACCGTTCAAAGCCAATACAGTCCAGTTGCAGGCATATATGACTTATCAAATAATCATTCTACTCCTCAACAGAAGGGGCAGGATAGTTGTTTTCTATTGCTGCAGCCCTTCCTGATGTGATTTCCGTTGTAGGGACCTATTATTTGTGTTTGCAGTAGCAGTAGCCAGTGTAAATCCAAACTGATTATAGCGTAATGTCTTCAAAAGTAACTAAATTTGAAAGCTTACAATTTCTGCTGCATCCTTTAAAAAACATGTGGCATGTAAAATTCATACAGCCATACAGAAAAAAGGGATTAATAAAAAAGGTGTGCGATTATGTAAAAATGTATCAGTAATCTGTAAAAGTCCATTTTTTCAGAAAAGGTGAATCCACATTGAATATAGAAAAGAAAAGTTGAGAACTGCTGCTGAAAATTATCAATTTTTCATGTGCTTGTAAAACCAGGAAAGCTTCATGATAAGGCTGAAACAAAGATCTGCTCAATTTTATAAAATGAGAAAATAAGGAGTACCAGGCTTCCCCTGATCAAGGTCATAAAATAAATGAGTATGGTGGTCTTTATTCAGTCCTTAGTGACAAAATAACTGAATAATTTGGCTTTTACTAACCTAAATTGTGGTTGTTACTCAGAAGGAGGTATAAGTATCATCATCAATATAGAGGAACTTTATCATGAAGATAAATTTACAAGGCAGTTAAATGCTGTATACCCAGCTCTTACCAGAAGTATGAGTCTGTCACTTTAATAAGTATAGTATTTTGACACCTTTCTTATTTTAATGACTAAATATACCGGGTAACATAAGAAAGCCATCTTCCTGTAGTTTTCTATTTTAATCTTGCAATGCTCCATTTTCAGATGTAATGGCTGATAGAAATGAAAATTTTGTACTTCCTGTTTGCTAATGGGTTTGATTATATTTGTTTATCAAATTGTCGTATTAGCATCCATAGGGACTTGTTGGTGACCGTGCCTGAGATATTATTGAATCTGAACCAGTTTAAACCTATCATTTTTATGTTGTACTGTAGACCAAGGAAAAGAGAGCATCTAATAGGATCATTTTAACTTGTAAATAAGAGGAGCACAGGGAGATAGTTAGCAAATTGGGTCAATTTTTAATCTATTTTTCTCTTTTGCTCTTTCATATACTGTATATATTTTAATACTTTATGTGAAATTACTCTAGTATGACTAGTATACATTTATTTTTAAATCACATTACTTGAAGTAATGAAATCCAGTCTATTCATGTAATTCATAAAATAGTCAATGTATCAAATTCTTGCTTCTGCATTCTTGATAGAATAAGGAAGATGGGATTTTTTAAAAAGATTTCTGTATCTGAAGTAGGTGCCACATATCTAAAACAACTGAGCAGGCTGAATCCATTTGAAAAAGTAGCTAATACAATAATATACATTACAGTGCAGAAATGTCTCTATACTGATTACTTTACCAGCACTGAAAAGCTGAAGTCTGAGCTGAAGTTTTCCAAAGAATGGTCTCTGTTCAGTAGTAATTTTTTTGAAGCTTTCATGGAAATTAGTGAGCCATCCATGTCTGTGTGTGTATGACCTAAAGGTCATATATATGAGTCGACTCATGTTATGAAGGGCTAGAATTTCAGCTGGTGTAAGTCAGTGCTGATTTATACCAGCTGAAGGTTTGGCCCATAATGTTTTAATTTGAAATACCTGAATGACTTTTTATAGCTCAGAAGTTGTGCTACAGAATTATGTGAAACACCTGGATTACATTCCTTCCCCAGTGCTGTGCTTCAGGAATCACCCAGATGTCATGAGTTATGGAAGCATCAAGTTTAAAGTAACTGGATCCCTTATAACCACGGGTTTAAATCCCCCTAGAGAGTCCCTTTAATGACTGTCTGCATGTTGCTATTGTGCTTCCTTACTTTCAGTATTCAAGTTATTTACATTTAAGTTAAAGTTTAATTTAAATTGAACTTCACTTTTTGGAGAATTTCATCTTGAGTGCTCATACGTTATGACTCCTAATGTGCACGATAGTACTGCTTAGCGCCGTAACAATATTTTCATTTTCCAGCTTTGCACTTGCTGCATTAAAAACTGTAACGATTATAATTATTTCCTAGTTCTCATTTTAATTAACATTTTGGCTATGTTAAAATGTTGCACAGAAATGTATATTCAGAGGCTGTCTCAGATACAAGATACATTGAATGGAATGCTTGCAAAACAGAAAACAGAAAGAGACATGCTTGCTAAAAAATACAGGTATGTGGAATGTAAGTCATGCATTCATAAAAAGGTTGTGGTGATGATGATGACTACTTTAAAAAGTAACATTGGTGGATCTTTGTAGAGCGGTAAGCAAACAGTAATATGTTAGGGACCAGGGCATGAGTAGTTGGGGGTGGTGACCTGACAGATAGGCCAAGTTCAGGGCTGGGTTTTTAGAGAGCTGGGGGTGCAGAGATACCACAGCCAGAACTGGAATCGGAAGCTAAAGTCAGAGTCAGGATATGCCAGGAGTTGGAACCAGAATCAGGAGTCAAGACCAGACCCAGAATATGCCAAAATCAGGAGCCCAAGGTTGGGGTCAGGATTTGCTGGAAGTCAGAACTGAAACCAGTAGTCAAAGCCAAAGTCAGGAGCTAAACCAGTGATCCAGTAGGTGAAGCAAGGAAGCACACGGGGGCCAAAAATGAGTACCTAGGTCGGGCCTGTAAAGGCTAGAGTGAGTGGGGCCTGTTGCCTGTGGCCTTAAGGGACTGGCTGCTATGATTGCCCCACTAGGATCAGCTGGGACCAAGGCACTGATCCAGGCTTGCTGCAACTGGCACTTATTCCCATTCAGTTTTAGGGGATGAATTACCCTGCTTCCCTGATTGAGACTGGGTGGGCCTAGAGCTCTGACTTGGCCCCATTGCAACATGGAGGCAGAACTTTGTGATCTTTATTCTGTCTTTTGTCAACGACTATTCCTATTGGCTTCAGTTGATTTCAGTGAGAGTTTATGCCTAGGGAAATTTTTAAGGTTTGGCCAGCACTTGCTGATAAAATATTTGTACAAATACATCATGAGAAATGGCCCCTTTGCCAGAAGCATTCTGCATGAAAAGATAAACAGAGCAGGAGAAGGAGCACGAACAAAATATTGGGAATGGAGGAAGATTAATGCCACATGCCAAGAAGCTCTCAAAAAATGGAGAGGCTGAGAATGGCATGGGTGGGGATATGCTCATGGCTGCTTTATGCTGTCTAGACATCTGAATTTCTGGGCTATGGTGCACACTGAGCAGGAGTAAGTAGCAGGATGTACAGCTCAATGACAGGCTTGGGGTCTGCATGGGGGACAAGTCCTAGATGGCTTTCTCAAGACTGCAGAGGAATTCTGTGACACCAAGGACTGCATTCAGGTAACCTGAGTCTAGTCAGTTCCTAGACCACAAGATCACTCTTCATCTCATAGAAGATCATTCCTCTGGCATATCAGATGAGATAGGGTATTTAGATTGCTCCCAGACTCATAGAATTGTAAGGCTGGAAGGGACCATAAGGGTCATCTGGTCCAAAACCTGCGTGAATGTAGAAATGTTGTGTCTAAATCCTCCCTAACTGATGCTTATTTAACCTCTTCTTGATAAGGCAGATCATTAGAAAAATTAGGTTTTATATCAAGAGGAGTTAACATTCTAAAATCATCTTTGTGAACAAGCCAATCAGTAGATTAAAAGGCTAGTAATTTCAGCATAATCTATTTAGCATTTATTCAAACTTATCGAATGACTTTTGAATGTGGTAAATGAAACTGCTCTGTGAAACTGAACTGATAAATATTTTTGAGATATTGCAAATGTTCAGTGTTTATTTTTCAAGAATAATGAGTTGCATGCAAGTTTGTGTTTTCAATTTATTATTTATATTCTAGCTTTCTATTTTTAACTTATTTAACTAATTGATCCACCCTTTATGTGTGAACTAATAATTTTTTATGCATTTCTATTATTTTTATCCTAAAGACGTTAAAAAGTCTCATTAGTATAGTATTTTGCATATTTTAAGTATAGTATTTTGCATATTTGCAGTATCTTCTTTTCGTGGTAGTTTTTTAGGCACTATTGAGAGTAAGATGTTTTTCTGTTTTGACTATACTGTATCATTTGTGTGAATACAGATATACTAGTATAAATATATTTATCTCAGTAGAACTGATTCTAGTGTAGGAAATGAAATAACTATATCAAAATATGGCTCCCATAATCTGGTGTATATATATGTTTACCCTAAGGTTTTTACCAGAGTAATACTGATAAAACTTTTAACTTTAGACAAGGACCCAGCTTTTAGTACTGTTATGAACTATAGCAGCATTTTGTTGATAGCTTGCAAAGGTACCAGTGTGAGCTTGTTTAGATAAAACTGCTTGAAAATTAGGTCAGATAATAAATTGCCTGCATAATTTCTTTTAATGAATTTTGAAAGATTTTCTGATAATTAATTGGAATACTTTAACAAAATAATGTTTCACTTACATATTGAAAAGACTAGATTATTGTGAAAGGACAGATAATTTGATAAATGCATTTACAAATAATGAACCATGTGAATTCTTTCTCAAGGTTATTGTTAGGATATTCTTTATAATTTAAAATATAATGGTTTCACTTACTGCTATTTACTGTGGCTTAGCTGAAGCTTGCTGTTGAAATCTATTTCCCTTACTGAAGATTTTATTTAGTAATGTTATTTAGTAAATAAAATTAATTTTTATTTTTTTGGTAAATAAAATTAATACATATATGCACACATTTACCATAGCATAACAAGTTATGTCCAGAGCCACTATCATTTTCTGAAAGGAAAGGCTTGGATAAAGAATATGAAAACATTTATTTTACAGAATAAAAATACTTGAAGAATTGCACACAGTCAATACTCCAGCCTCAGACCTCATCCTGCACTAGGTTTGATCATGCAGAGCTCACTGTAGAATAAGGAAGTGCCTGATTCTGGGCTGGGGAAGACTTTGAATACAATGATACTATGTGGGGAGAGAAAGGGTCCAGAGAGATTCCTGTGGCATTACTGTACCAACTGTGGATTGGCTTGTGGTGCTGAGAGGACTGAAGACTGGCAAGGGATTGCATAGTTCAGGTTTCTCAATTCCATGCATAAATGCTACATAGAAGACCAGAATATTATCTAAATTTTGATTCTGGGGAGAATGATGAGCTCCCTAGCAGAGTTATTTTTGCATACAGTTTGTTATGCATAAGGTGTGTAATTTGAATCTCAAACTTTATTTACAATGAAATGGCTGTTCAGTTTTTGCAGAATGCTTTTAAATAGTTCTGTTCTAGACATGTTTAATATATATATAAAATGAATATGTACATACATTATATATCATTTAATAAATAAACAATCTATAAATAAATAATCTCAATAGATTTAATTCTATATTAATAAATAATATATAAATATATAAATATATAAAACCTCTTTATTTTGTGTTCTTAATTAAATGTGGTGTGCTTTTTATTCCTATCCTATAGGGCTTCAGTGGAGTCTTTTAAACAAGGAGCACTGAGGGATCAACTTGTTCAACTCGCTTCTAGGCAAAAGAGTCTTTTGATGGTTGCAAAAAAACAGAAGGAGCTAGGCCAGAAAATACAAAACTGTAGGAATACAAAGAAAGCGTATTCAGGAGGTTCAAAGAAACAAATACCAAACTCAGTTCCTTCAACTGAAAATGATGACGGAGAGTATGTCACTCCTGATAAAAGAGTGCATCCTGATGTAGTTACAGTTAGTATGGGGCCTGATGTCAGGTTGCTTAATGGAAATAGTTTGGAAGCACATCTCTCTTTAGAAAGTAGATTTTCAGCTCAGGAACGCAGCCAATATCAGAATGGCTCCTTGCACGAGCCAGGAGCAAATGAAAGGGCAATTAGAAGCAAGGTGGTTTCTGCTCAGGCTTTGGCATCTGAAAACATGGTGAGAGAATGGACCGTTGATAAGATGTCAAAATCAAAGTCTGCAGATGCTATGGAAATGGTAACATTGCTTTCAGAACCTGTTTGCATTACTCAAACAGAGTGCTCACAGCTGGAAAAAATTGATTACGCAGGAGTTGCAGTCCAAGGAAGCAAGTCTCCAAATCCCATTGCAGTAACCAGTAGATTAAATATTTCAGAAGCCCAAAACATTGTTGTCAATAATAATATCCATCAGCCAACCACTGATTGTCAACAGGTTCTGCCTGGTAAGAAGCTGCAAAACTACGCAAATAGAAATGAAGCTTCACAACAGCAACCAAGAGTGGTGTCAGAATCCACAGAGAATTCTTCTGTTGGTCTTCAGCAAAATAATAGGACCTCACCTAATGCTAACTTGGAACCCACAAATTTTGCACCAAATATATTTTATTCAATAAACATAAATCAGAATCCTTCTTCCCAGTTTTCTCATCGTCAGGAGAAAGAGCAACAACTGAGCAACAGAAAGTGTAGAAAGAAGAAAAGTCAATTGGTTGATTTGCTTGAACTGGGAAAGATCAAGCCAGGAGAAGATGTTTTAGAGTTCAAATTACAGGTAATTGGTTCCCCACCAAAATAAGGTAACTAATAAGAAATAGTGGAAATAAGTTTGCTCCCTAATGTGGGAAACATTAACATTATATGCTTTATCAAAGCACTGTGAATATTAAGGTTAATCTGCAAATCTCCTTCTTGGCCAGCAGTACACTGTCCTGGTGAAGTTGTGTGCTATACTGGAACTTGCTGGGAAATGGATGTAAACTAAGTAAAGTCCTGGTTTTCTGTTTTCAGCAACTGCATATTTAAGAGTGTGTATTTTGAAAATGCTTGTAACTTGCTGGGCAAAAATGAGACTATTTAAAAGCATAAAACATGTATTAGAAAAAAATAGCAGTGCCTTATCCCTACAGCTAGATGCCAAGCTTCAGGGCTGATCTGTGGTGTGTGAATCCATCAACAGCAGATAACTAAAACAGAACAAGAATGATTATTTGGACTTCTTAGATTAAGAAAGGCAAGAATAAAGTGACCCTTTTAGGCCTGAATGCTTAGCCAGTATTTAGAGTTTTGCAGGTTTTTCCCATTAGGAAAAGAAAATAATGATGGAAATGAGTATTTATCTGATATAATCCTGATTTGTTTAAGAAGATTAATAAGGTCCTGAGCCCCTCAACAGAATAGCAATCAAATTTCAGGAGACAGGTTTCTGTTCCTAGTTCTAAGCCTCAGCCAGCACTCTACCCAAAAGCTCTTATTTTTCTCAAGGTTATACTCGTGCTATCTGGGTCTTTCTTTTTACCTTCTTGATGTGCTGCTTTGCATTTCTGCTGTTTCTCTGTCACAGACACACGGCTACAATCTCATCAAATCTCTGCCCTCATATACCTACAGGAAGCCCCTTGGACCTCATAGCCCAGGCATTGATGAAGCATGCCTGCTGTCAGGTCTCCTGAGTAGTTTTCCAGTATTTCACGTATCACTAGATAAGGGGCATTTAGTGGTTCCCTCATACAGCAGGAGCAGAAGGCAGGGATCATCCTCAATAGCTTCAACAAGGTGGTGTTTTCTCCCATTCCTGGCATAATATTTGTTTTTAATTTGCTTAAGTGTGCCAATAATCTATTGGGTATCTTCAGTGGTTAATACTCAGTTTGGTTTATACCTCCCATTATTTTCCAGTTTTCTCTTAATAAGACTTTTCCAAAAATTTTAAAGGTAGGTGTTGCCTTGCCAAGCAACTTAGCTAATAACAGCATCAAGAAAACTGGGCATGTAAAATCTTTTGGTTGCATTTACATGTTCTGTCCGTTAATATTTGTTGTCATTGTTAACAGCAAAGTGCAATGTGCAATGCTTGGTTGGTTCTTTATAGGCTGTAATATTTGATCTGGAAAGTTCAGAGGTGGCTTCAAGCGTTTTTTTTTTTATGACTGCATGTAGTACTTAGGACACTGTAAAATCCTTTAAGCCAAAAATGTAACATCAAAGGTTTAATCCTGCTCTTAGGCAGATAAGCATGCTACCCGAATAGCTTGTAAAATCAGTTATTTTGCATGTTTACACGCTAGCTGTTTGTACACGATACACAGTAATGTGTACTGGCCAAGTCTTTGTTAGTATAAAAAAGGCCCCAGCAGCTAAAATATGAAGTAAATTTACAAGTAGAACTGCCTTTGGTGGCATAACAATACTAAAATAATGGGTACAGTTATTTGTAGTGTCCCAGCTGGCGCCTGTACCAAGTTAATTATCACTCCAACATGCTAATCTACAAACTGAGGGTTCTTTACACCTAACTCAGGGGTGTCAAACTCACTTGTACCCCAGGTTGGATTAAAAATGCAGGGCTCCTTGAAAGCTGGATTTAGACTGCAAAAAGCTTCACCGGCCTGATCTGAACCTGGTGGCAGGGTGAGCAGCTGTGTTGGGGTTAACACAACTATCATTCCCCCTTCACCACCAATGTGAACCCTTGACAAGGCTTCATAGCTGGGAATTCTGTAGCAGGCCATGCCCTGCTCATCCTACCCCCAAATTCCCAGCCCCTTTGGGAGCCCCATGGAATGGGCAAAATTGCTCTGTGAGCTGGATCTGGCCCAGAGACCATATATGTGGCACCCCGACCTAATTTGTTAAGTATGTAGGGAGCCAGCCATAAAAGTAGAGAATTCCAGAAAAGGCTTTTCTTTTTGCACTTGTGATCTACTTATTAAATCTTAATTGGATGTTTTTTTGGCTTTATCAGGCTAGTTAATTTGCCACACACCTTCTAGTTATTTTTTCTGTCCTTGCAATCATAGGACACCTTTACATGTGTTCTGGAGTGGTGGTGGTGGTGGGGGGGGGGTGATACTTTAATTAGAGGGGCTCTGAGAGCTGCTCTAATTAAAGCACCTCTGTCTTGTATATCAGCATCCCTGGAGTTAAAAATGGCAGTGGGGGTGCTTGAATTAAATCTCATTTGAGCTTTAGTTCATGTGTCCCTGCCACCATTTTTAAGCGCGGGGACATGGATACATAAGATGGAGGAGAATGCTGGAGTGCAGTAATTGCCAAACTCAGGCAGACTTGATTAATCAAGTCTGTTTCAACATGCTGGAATTCCAGCACATCAGAGCAGCCTCCACACTCACATATAGGTGCCCATAGCTATTATGGGTTCAGAAAAGTAGCATCTCTGTATAGGATGTGACAATAGCATAACTAGGGCTGGCTGAGTGATATACCAGTCCTGGGTCTCAACTTAGAGGGAGCACTGGGATGGCCACCTCCTCACAGGAGACTTATATGGGAGGTAGTACCTAGCCATAGGAGCCAGGCAGGCATAGCCCCATGCCTAGAAGTATATCTGGGGGAAAGAGGATGCAGGGGGCTGGACTCAATGATCTTCTGAGGTCCCTTCCAGCCCTAATGTCTATGAAAACTATGAATGATGCTCTCCCTCCCTCCCCCGGGAAGTCTTGCCATGGGAGTCACAACCCTGCCTCTGGAGTTGGGAGGTAAATGAGGCACCATGAGCAGCTCCCAGGGTGCCCAAATCACTACCTGCCCCTCAGTGGCAGCAGCCTTGAGCCCATGCTGCTATGGCAGCATCAGTAGCAGCTGCCACTCAAGTGAGGATCGCCCTAGCAAGTAAGATTCCTCTCCCCCTTCCTCTCTTCCTCTCCCTTCTCCTTCTCTCTCACTCTCCTGTGGATAGCACAATTTCCCCATTCCCCCAGGCACCAAAGGAGCTTGCTACGCCTCTAAATATGCAGACAATGCTCATTCATCCCATAGGAGGCTGTTATTATGTCAGAGATTAGTGCTTAGGCAAAGACCTAAGGCTGTGCCTCCCATTGCAAGGCCTTCTGGAGGGTGGGGTGTCATTCCACTCCTCCTTGCCTGATACACTGCTAAGCATGGGACTGTGTGCCTGCCTGGTCAGCTGTACATGCCTGGCTCATATGACTGAGCTGCACATGCCATGGCAAAGCTGTTTGTTGCTTTGTGAAGAGGAAGAGCAAGATAAATCTGCTTTCTGCTTGATTATGGAAAACCACATGGTGACAAGGTGCAGTGAGTAGTATGTGGTACCTCAGGTTTAACCTGGGGTACAGGCAGCTGATTTGAATAGATATAACCAGAAATGGACCCATACTATCATAACCAGAAGGAGAATTGAGAGATGGATTCAGAACCAAATCCAAGCTTCCTCTTTCATCAATGATGGAGAGAGACCCATGCCATAAAATTTGACATGGTAGGTCAGTATTCCATTATTAGATTCTTCTCTCATTCTGCGTTTGACTTCATACCCATCAGACAGCCCTGTTTTTAGTAGAACTAAGTTGTTTATTAGACTGTTGTTTCAGATGTGGATGTGCAATAGTTGGCAGATTTGGTGGATATGCAGCAGTTTTCCAAACACAACCACTGAGTTAAGTACATCTTAACAGTGATAGGCATATTATCAAAGCATGCCTTGGTCACGAGTCTAAAGGATAAGTTGTGGGGTGAAATATCCCAGGCATTTAAGACCATTTTTACAGAGGGTCATGTACCTTGAAAATTACAGACTGATCAGGGGAAAGAATTTTTAAATAAGTCTTTAAGCAAACTATTAAAGCAGTATAATATTCACCATTTTGTGATAAATAGTGAAGCAAAAGTGGCAGTGGTAGAGTGGCTTAACAGAACATTAAAATCAAAGATATGGAGGTATTTTACAGCCCACAATAACTTTTGCTACACTGATGTGTTACCAGAGTTTATAAAGAGCTATCACCACAGCTTTCACAGATCTATCTGTGCCAGACCTGTTGATATGAACTCCTCAAACTCTCCGCAGGTGTGGAAAACTGTGAACAAGGAATATTTTAAAAATAAAAGAAGCAGTGCCTCTGTCTAAAAAAGGAGACCATGTGGGAGTGACCAAAAGGAGACCAGAAAAGGAGACCAAAGGGAGATTTGAGAGAGGTTATGAACAAACGTTCACCAATAAGATTTTCACAGTGCATGAAGTCATTAAAACATGTGCAGACCCCCATATACCACCTAAAAGATTATGAAGACCAACCTATTGTGCAGTCTCTACCCTGAAAACTACAAAAAGTGAACCCCAAACAGGATTCATAGATTCATAGACACTAGGGCTGGAAGGGACCCCGGAGGATCATTGAGTCTAGCTCCCTGCCCATGGACAGGAAGTCAGCAGGGATCATAGGATCCCAGCAAGATAAACATCTAAATGTCTCTTGAAGGGGTTCAAAGTAGGTGCTTGAACCACCTCCAGCGGCAGTCTATTCCAAACCTGGTGGGCTCGGACAGTAAAGAAGTTCTTCCTTATGT